CCCGCCCCGCCCGCTCCTGCTGCCTCCCGGCGCCCCGCGCATCCTGGGCGCACAGCCTCAGCACGGCGAGCCTGGCAACGCCGTGCGAACAGGTTTCCGATGAGCCAGGAGATGTGTCCTGCCCGTGCAGCAGCGCTGCCTTTGCCACCGGAACGAAGAACTTCTCACGCGACACAGCCAAGAGATCAGGAAGGAAACTTCACTTTTACCTTATTACATCTGTTTATCTCATATAGATATTGAGATCTCACTGTAAGGAACACAACATAGCCCTGAAGAGTGTGTTTCGAGTGAGGTAAATTTGAGGGACTTTAATTCTCACAAAAGGGTGTTTTTTGTCCAAACCAACCCCAGCATTCCCTGCAGGGTGTGGGTGCACCTGCCACTCAGCCCTGCGTGTGTGGGGTGTTTGCACAGTGTCGCAACACGGGTGTTCTGTGACAAGAAAGAGCTGATAGATCAACTTTTGTAGTGTGGGAACAATATTAAAGGATTTGCGTGCTAACTATACCTTCAATGCCTCTGAAAAACCAGGGAGATTTACTTTCTGTGTCAGCTCATATCTGTAAGTGAAGCATGATACAAAAAGGAGGGACTAGAATAGCGGAATAGGAATGATAGAGATTTTCTGCCCACATTAACTAAGAGGTTGTGTTAGGTTTATGTAATATTTAGGCTCTGCCTTTTTATTTTATTTTTTTCCAAGGCTCAGTAGCTCTTACCCCAGACAGATGGTTTTGCAATTTTAAATCACAAAAATTCTCAGTTGTCAGAGACAGCATTTCATAGAATTATATTACAGAATCACAGAATGGTTTGGTTTGGAAGAAACCTTAAGAATCACCTTGTCTCACCCCCTGCCATGGGCAGGGACACCTTTCACCAGCCCAGGTTACTCCCCATCCAAAGCTGATAGATCAACTTTTGTAGTGTGGGAACAATATTAAAGGATTTGCGTGCTAACTATACCTTCAATGCCTCTGAAAAACCAGGGAGATTTACTTTCTGTGTCAGCTCATATCTGTAAGTGAAGCATGATACAAAAAGGAGGGACTAGAATAGCGGAATAGGAATGATAGAGATTTTCTGCCCACATTAACTAAGAGGTTGTGTTAGGTTTATGTAATATTTAGGCTCTGCCTTTTTATTTTATTTTTTCCAAGGCTCAGTAGCTCTTACCCCAGACAGATGGTTTTGCAATTTTAAATCACAAAAATTCTCAGTTGTCAGAGACAGCATTTCATAGAATTATATTACAGAATCACAGAATGGTTTGGTTTGGAAGAAACCTTAAGAATCACCTTGTCTCACCCCCTGCCATGGGCAGGGACACCTTTCACCAGCCCAGGTTACTCCAAGCCCCATCCAACCTGGCCTTGAACACTCCCAGGGATGGGGCAGCCACAGCTGCTCTGGGCAACCTGTGCCAGTGCCTCACCAACCCTCACAGGGAAGAATGTCTTCCTGATATCTAATCTAAACCTACCTTTATTGGTTTGAAGCCATTCCCCCTTGCCCTCTCACTACATGCCCTTGCCCAGCTCCCTTCAGGTACTGCAAAGTGCACTAAGGTCTCCTCAGAGCCTTCTCTTCTCCAGGCTGAACAACCCCAACTCTGTCAGCTTGTCTCCATAGGAGAACACACACAATTTCTATAGATGAATGTACTGCTTGCACCTGTGTTTTCAGCTGTGTTGCAAAGACTTGCAGTCATTAATTAGTTCAGCACATATATTATGTACCTATGACTCCTGTGTACTGTGGCTATGCTTGTGTACTTTACTCTAAATCTTCCTAAGTAGGTCTGCACAGGTGTGATTTACAGCCCTCACAGGTAAATCCCAGTCAGCTTTAATCTGGACAGCCTAGAGAGCAAACTGTTGGCAGGTAGCTGCAGGTGTACACATTCAGCACACGCTGAGTCTCTCAAGCATTTGCTCTGTTTGTGGGGTGACTCGTGCCCTCTGCCCTGAGCTCTGTGCTGCAGCAGTGCCCTGCAAACACTGCCAATGCTGTGCTGGTGTGCATATCACCTGTGTCTGAGGGCATGATCAGTGCTCACTGTACATAGTGAGAACCCTGGATATTTTAGCTTCTAAGAAAACAACGTGGATGACAACTTCATTGCAGAGTTATTGTAGCTGTATGGATGCTCTCTGGGAGACATGTTTCTCAAGAGTTTCTCCTTGTTTCTCAAGAGTGAAGTTTGTGACATGAAAGGTCAATAAAACTGGCCTGGGATAGTCTGCACTGCTATGAATGTACAGTCTCTAGAGTAACGATAGGTATATGCATTGTCTAATGCAATTAATGGGAACAGGGGTCTGGGCTACATGTGATGAAGTCTAGTGTAAGTTGTCTTCTACCTTTATCTGTGTGATATAGGTTTCTGAGACGCCAGCAGCAGAAGCACTGGGAGTAAACTCTGCACTCCTGTTTGCTGGCTTGAATACTGTGTCCACTAACCTTAGACTGTTTTGGTTCCTGGCAAGGGAAAACTGTTTCCATGCGAGGTGGAACTACAAGAATCCCTCCTTGTGACTCAGATTCCCTTTGATGGACATGCACACTCAGCTCACTTGTGACCCACAAACTACAGGACAAGTCCTGTGCTACAAAGCCAAACACCATGTACTCTGCTTGCTGCTCTCTCCTTTGCTGTAACAAACTTTATTTATTTCCATAAAAGATTTATTTTCTAGCTCCTGATCTTTACTGATTTTACTAAACTCTGTATTTTCCTATTTACTTTCCTTCTATTTTCCCCCTTCATTACTATTCTAAGTCATACTCTTCAACCTTTGTTCTGCTCACTACTTCTCTCTCAAGTACCCATTCTGCAAAATGTCTCAGTCCATATCCCACCCACAGGCCTGGAGAAGCAGCCATTCTGAAAATATTGTGTGCAAACCTGTTCCTACAGACTCTGCCCATCTTACTTTTAATAGGATAACACAAAATGGGATTTTAGGTCCCTACAGACATGTCTGTGATACTTTGAGAGACCTGCAAGAATGAGCTTTGCAAATGTGGAAACTCTTACTCTAGTGACACAGACTGAACTTGCAGAATCTGGAGACAGTGCTACATACCTGGCAAGTGGAATTCTTGAATCCTGTTTGGCATTTAATTTTAAGAGACAACATTTTGCAGCTGACCCTCAGCCAGTGAATTATGCATAAGTCAAAGAAATCCTGCCACATGATGACCTTTGCCTCTTTGTACTTTAATGCTACCTTCCTTGATTTCAACAGCTGAAAAAAAATAGACAAATATCACAGCTCCTGGTGAGTATTCAATGAAACTAGACTATATAAAACTTACAGCTAGAGCCCATAAAGCTTGGGCAGCTTTAACATTGTCTCTTTAGCTGTGGCAATCTCACATCAGCATGTCTCTGGGCTGAGACAGAGTATCAGAGCACTTAACTCTACGTAGATAGCAATAAAATCTTTTGACATTTTCCACTAGTTTATTTTTAGCACTGGGCCTCTGCTAAGTGAGTTCCACTGCACTTCTCTGCATACACTTTTAAGATGAGCATAGGTTCAGTGCACATACATTGCTTCCTGTTATTTAAAGGGAGTGGCACAGGACCTCAGGGGGTTTGTGCAATGAGAAACTAACATGGCTATTTTGAACTTATATTCCCATCACAGATGATGTTTGGTAAAACAAAGGACAGGTGCTTAGGAGGAATTTCTGCTTACCAAAATAGCAACTGTGCTACCAATCTCACCCTACCTCCTGAGTTCTTACTGACAGCAGAATTGGGCAAAAAGACATAGGAAGTCCCACCCTATTTCTTCCAATAAAGTAATTCTGACAGAAGGGATGGCTAGCTAGTTGCTGTAAGACATTAATAGCTATGAACAATCTAAAATTCTTCCAGAGACACAGTGGGGAGGTGAAAGGAGGGGGAAACCGATGCTTGGTGCCCCGTAGGATCTGTGGAGTTGCAAAACACTGCTGTGAGGTACCAGTGTGACCAGGAATATGGCTAGGATAGGTGGAACAGCCTAGGAGTCAGATACAGGAAACAAATCAGATATAGCAGAGAAGTTCTTGACAGCTCCAACATGAAGAGCTCAAGACTTGTTCCTGGCAATCTGAGCACGTATCACCTGGTGAGGGCATGAGAATGATTCTGTACAAAGGAGTCTCTCTCCAGTGCTGGTGACGAGGGCCTGGGACCCAGTGCAAACAGTCTGGAACTGACTGATGGCACAGAGAACAGCCTGGAGCACAGTGTGAAAGCACCACAGAAAAGACAGAAACCTTGAGCCTTGTAGGGGAGTCACAGCTAAATTTGAAAGGAGAGAAGTGTGGGCAGTGCAGACAGTTTCTCCCTTTCTAGCATTGGAGAGAAATCTTAATTCCAGCACTACCATTACAAATTATGTACCACAACAGTCAGAACTATACTGTCTCTGTCGTAAAACCAACTCACAAAGCAGAACATTCTGTAATTTCACTTTCTTTCCACAGAGGACATTTCTCTTATCTCCATCAGACCACTGATGGTGGTACCACACGTACCACTGCAGAAACACTTGACATCAGAAGACAGTTTTACTTGCAAATTGGGTCTTTATTGATTTCACTTTATTAAAACAATGTTGCTGCTACATTCTGTCTTCAGTCATGGGGAAGTGCAGAAAAACCTGAGCACTGGGGAAATCTGGTAGCTATAAGTGAGGGATCAACTGGAGTTAATACAGTGAATAATTGCAAATATGACAACTGTGAAGAAAAGGTGAAGAGAAGGGAAACATAATCTTATCCTCAAAATTATTTAAAATAATTTCTTTTACTACCAAAATAGCCTGCCACGTTTAAATGTGCATGTTTAGACTGTAACTTATAACTCTGAATTAACCTTCTTGTTTTCCACTCTTTTATTTGTCTTTTCAAGCATAAGCTTTCTCCAGAAATCTACCTTCTTTTCTTTCAACTTTCTGTCTTTCTTTTGTTTCAGGTTTATCTGCAAGTATTCTTCATGTAGGTTGTAAGATGGCCATTCAACCAAACCCTCTCCATTAGGATTTCTGCAAACAATAAGAAAGAAAGAGTGAATGCCTTTTTCAGTCACAGGGGAATTCAGGCACAGAAGTAAAGACTGAACCAACAAAACAGCTAGCTCACTATGGAGTCAGTGCAAAGCAGCAATATGTGTCATGGATGTTATGATTCTTACCCATTTCGAGCAAAGTTAGCCCAGTACTTCATTAGAGTTCTACTAAGGTTCTTTTCTTCCTCTGTAACTTCACCTGAAAGACAAGGTACAAAATCATTATTTTGTGTGGCAGAAATCAAGACTTTGCTACTACAGGAGCAGCATTTCAGTCTGTGAATATGCTGTAACAACCTGTGGATTGCGACAGAGACACTATACTTGCAAAATGTCAGTAATACAGCAAGCATCAGGGGATTTTGTCGAGAGATTTCACCAGTCTTCAACAATGACACTACCATAATTAGCCTGGGGAATTAGGGTACATGGAAATAACGTGATTTGCCTGTAGCTTTCCAGGAAACCAGAAGCAGAATCAGAAAAACCCCATGTGTGCCATGTCCCAGCATGACCCAAGGAATGGGCCACATGGTTTGGCTTCCTGGATCTCATTCCAGTTTTGTGGCACTGCAGTTCTCCCTGTTATTCATAGCAAGACTAGGCTGATACAAGGTGATGTCATTTCATGTCTCAGCATTTCAAGAACATTCATTTAAATGCAGTTACACATGAGCCACTGAATCACTAGGTGACAATAATTGCAGTTGCAGTGTGCTATTAATTATAAATGCATATCAATACATTGAGAAAAGCATTTGCTATATTAACACCCTCAGGAAATTCAGGCAAATAGGAAAAGAATAGAAAAGTGTTTTCCAGTGTAGTAAGTACATCAGTTAAAGGGTAAGTATAAAATATAAGCAAAATCAAAAGGCTCTAGTAACAGATTAACAAAGGCTTTTACAACATAGCTGAAAGCTCCAGAGGTCAATGGAGTGAAAGGAACTAAAGTTCCATGGCTTTAATTTTGAAAGACTATGAACTCCTGTGAATGGCAAAGATAAAAGCAGAAAAAAACCAGTGAATTCACTTAAAATAAGTAGAATTTCTGTGTTTCTTTGGCAAAATAAGATCTGATCCTAATTTGTTTCATGGGAAAGAAGATACTCCAACCTGAGTATTATTGTGTTAGACATATGTAATTAAAGCAAATTGCTGGATTCATCATGTTCCTTAGGGATGTGGCATCAGGTGTCTTAGCTGTTGACCCATTGGCACATTCATTTGCAATGTATCAAGATGGAATTCTGCCTGAAGGAACTTACAGAACGCCAGGAGAATTTGGGGAGTACACCCTGAATCCCCCTCAATGGACTGGTTCTATTTTGAATAAAATGTGTAAGTATTAATTAAGTCAAAGGGCAAAACAGATTTAACCATTAGATCTTCACACAGAAAATGAAATACTGGAGTTCCAAGCCTTGCTCTGAACACAGCTGGAACACTACCTGCAAAAGAGACCAAGTGCCCCAGTCTCTGGAGCCTGACAGCCCATGGGATTTCCTAGAAAGGAGGAGACACTAAGCTTAAACTCCTCAGGAAAAGAAGAGATCCTAGATTTCCTGCTTCTGAGCACTTTGTCAGTCCTCTGCAAGTTTAATCGACCTTTCCTTCCATTTTCAGCCAAAGCTATTTGGCAAGCACATGCATAGCCTACTGTGCTTCAGAATGAGCAAACTGCACATGAGAAACAGTGGAGAAGAGAGTTAATTAGTGTTAAACAAATTCTAACAGGAGAAAGGGTTACGCTTTGGTCTCACTGTTCATATATGCACTTTAGTCTGATTGAAATGGAAGTAGCACTACTGAAAAGAATAATGCCAGTGCTAGGAGACTAATTTATAGGTGAACACTGATTGTCTGTTCCTTACTGCGGAGCTGAATATCTCCAGCCAGAAAGGGTCCTCCAAAGACAAAGCCAACTTCATCTCCATGATCAGCTTTCACATACTCTGGTTTACTGTCCCAGTATGAGCTGGGGCGGTGCTGAAATTCAAAGAAGTAGGCAGGAGCTCCAGACTCTAGAAGGTATAACACAGAAATGAGTTAAAGAAGAGATACATAAACCACAGCTGTCATCAGCTGTTTAAAGTATCACTTTAAACATGCCCAAAGCTTTATACCAGGCATATTTCTCAAGTAATGTTACATTCAAACAGGTACTTTTAATTCAAAATTAAGAACAAATGAAAAAAAAGAAAGATAGATTTACCCTAGGAAAACTGAGACAAAACAAGATAGCATCTAATTATATCTCAGGTTCTGGGATTATTTCCAGTTCTGGGTATCCTGGCATGGCTTGGCTACACTTAGACACCAGAAAGTCTCCAGACCACAGAGCTGCAGGGCCAAGGACAAAGGTGGCTTTGATATGTTTCAATTTTCAAGCCTGTATACTTGAGCTAGCAAACATTTACCTGCGTTATCGTGCTCTGCTATCCATATATTGTGATTATGAGCACAGTGCAAGACACTAGTGAAAAATAAAAGCCAACATACACTTGCTTCACAGAATCCTGCAGACCTGTATTATTCTTCACCCTTCAGTTCCCAGTGGGAATCTCAAAAAGCATTGCCTATGCATGACAGGATTTGTGTCTACATGTAGTAAGAGGTTTGATTATCCTGCTGGTGTTCATAAGCTTACCCCTGTGGTAATTGAGTGCTTTGATGGCTGGCATGACGATCGCCATATCCCCGAGCAAGTCCAGAAATCCATCCCGTAGCTCGGCAGGATCATCTGTGTTTCCTAGGTATTCATCGACTATCATGGGCAGAAACTCTGATGGCAAATCCTAAGAGATAAAGGGGAAATGAAAAACAAACAGACAAATTATCACTGTCTGAATTAGCAAATAAAATGTCACCTTTTAAACTCCAGAGATTCTGTAAAGCACAAAGGCCCAGGACAGCATCCATGTTATGGGAAACAAAGCCTATTCAGGCTTTTAGTGGGGAAAAAAGCCCAACATCAACATCAAAAAAAACTCAACAAACCAACCATCTCAGGTCAAATTTGCACCAGATTTATATGGGCTAAAATTCTATAGGAATCAATGAAGATGGTCTCTCCTGCCATGGCTGCAGGGAGAGGATTAGACAGAATGGCCATAAGCCGAGACAGGGAGAGTCAGAGGAAATGGTAGGGGAAATGTTTTCCATTTTAGGGTGTTCAGGCACTGGAACAGATTGCCCAGGGAGGTGGTGGAGTCACCACCCCTGGAGGTGTTTAAGAGGTGTCTGGATCTGGTGCTGGAGGATATGATTTAGGGGTTACAGCAGTGACAGGTTAATGGTTGGACTCAATGACCTTAGAGGTCTCCTCCAATTTTGATGATTCTATGATTCTAAGATCCAGCAATTTCTCCTGATAATACCTTTGGCTTCTGTTTTCTTCAGGAGAAAAGAGCTGGGAATAATAAAAGTAAATTCTCTGAGTCCTTAAGGAATTTGGGACTATTAGACTATAGGGCAAGACCAATGGGATCTCCAAACACAATGTAGGGTTTTTTTGTGTTAGAATTTGCTGCTTGAAAAATACACTTCAAAACTAGGAATGCAAAGTAACTACTTTGAAAGCTAAATTTAATTCGATGCAAACACATCGAAAAACCTGTCAACCAGGAGATTAGCCATGAGATACCCTGACATTAGGAATACTATGACAGTATTCCTATGTACAAATACATGAAACAAAAACGTTTCAGAGGTCTAGAAGGTCTAGGAAAGGTCTTTGAGAGGTCTAGAATTTCTCTGTATCCCAGGCCTGACTCAATCCTACTTTTGTGTAACCCCATACACCCTAGTCCCGTCAGCTTTGCTCAGCCTCTCCCCAACGGATAACATGAGCTCTGTTCTTAGTAACACTATGACTCAAGCAGTTAGACATAATTCTGTTATATGCAGGAGAAGAAATTTCACTTCTCAAATCAGATTAGTGCATCAGTACTTACTATCATTGGCAGAAAGAACTCTATAGTTGAAGCAATTGACTTTTTATCTCCTATTTCCTTCAAACCTGTCATTTTTGATGTCTGCACAGGAAAAAAAAAAGAGAATGTTATTAGCACCATTCAACTTCTCCATTATTTTTAACACTGAAGCTACATTATTCCACTTTGTTCTTACTACTGGTGTTCATTTTTGATGCACCATATCATATGCAGAAGTGCTGCAGCATACAGCAGCTGTCTTGAAAAGCTTGTATTTACTGCAGTAAATGTGTCCTTGGTGGGGGTTTCTACATAAACTACTCATGCTAAGTAGTTTATCTTTAAATCAACACACATTAAGAAACTTGTAAGACTAGAAAACATTAGGGCAGAGCTGAAGCAAAAAGTTTATGTCTCACAGGTTTATTTTCCTTCTTTTAGGGGAGATCTTAAAAGTAACTGGCAGCCTGTCTCTAGTCCCACTGTTTGAGCCCTTTGAAATAAAGATAAGGCAGTGCTCCTCATCTTTTACAGCACCACATGAAATGACTCTTTTGTCTGCAAAATGCATTAGAACAGACCTCACTGTACACTGCTCTTCTCAGACTCAGTACCAACACACTCCCAGACACACAGTTGTTACATAGATTTGGAACAAATGCTTTGTACTACATAGAGAAACATGAATACTTGGGAAATGAGAAAAAGAAGGACAAGAGAGAGGACACAAACCCATCTCCTGCAGTTGTGTGCATGGATAGCAATTGCTCCTTTTGAGTAACCCATTGAGCTCACATGAGAAACGATTTCTGCACAGAGAGTGGGCTGGACAGCTGCATTATCCACATGTCCTGTCCCCAGATGAGATTTTCAAATGGAAGCTCTTTCTGCACGGTAATAATGACACACAGGGGAAGCTATTTAAGGTGATCAATGCCACATTTTTAAACCTCATGTGTTGTGTGGGAAAGGACTGGGTTTATTTTTCTGTCAGCAATAAGCCTTTGACTTGCATTCTTTTTCCTCTCTCTGCCTGGATGGGGGATTAACATTTCAGGATAAGAAAATACAGAATTGATGTTCCAAGGATGTCCATGTAGCTTATCTTGCAGGATGAAGCCTGTCTCACTGCTTTGTGACCCATTGTCACAACAGAGTCACAATGCAAGCAAAGTTTACCCTATATGTGTTTCCAACAATGCAAAGCCTTGTCCTACCAGCAAATACCTTCTCACATTGTCTGCATCAGTTAAAATACACATTAAAAAATAAAGATTAGCCATTCACTTACAGATCTAATATTCCAGCCAAATTCATTGTTGGTGACTCCAACCATAAACGGGACTGCATTAAATTCTTTCCCAGCCATTATCACTTCAGGTGACTTAGGAAGAAATACTCCATCCAAAACTAAAGGTACAAATGAGATGTCCTGAAGGAGTTAAAAAAAGAAATCAAATTACTTGTTAACAGTACTTTCAATTTTTCCTTCAAATCATATAAGATGCCCACATTTAACCTTCCAAGTGCAAAAAAGGGGTTTAACAGATCTGAGTACCTACAGCCGCTGTAACATAAATTTAGTCTGGCACAAGAGTATAAAATTCAAGCCTGGTTGGGTTGAGGTATGGAGTAATGCAGTGGTTTCCTGATCCTTCTGACTGACATTGAAACACATGCATGGCTCAAGCCTTGCCCACAGCTTCACAGGTGCTGTGACACTGCTGAAATTGTAATGAAAAATTATGCGAACTGATTTCAACATTTAGGGGGTATTTAAACGAAAGTTAAGAAAAATCACCTTTGGAACAATGAACTCTGGTCAGAGGCTGAGCTAAAGTTTTACAAGAATGGCATTAAAAAAAATCTTAATCTCACCTACCGTGCTCTTAGAGATGATGTGCTCTGCTTCCTGCTTCCGTAAGCAGTTTACAAGTGAGAGTGAACTGCTCGTGTCACACTTAAACACACTCGCAATTTGCTGAAAATTGTTAACAAAGACAAGGACCGTTAGCGATGAGGTGGTCTTGGAGGAATTTATCAACAGAAAGGTATTATACACAGTACTGTTATCAGTTTGATTTAAGGGCAGATTTAGGCGAGTTTGATAGATTGTGGAGTGTTTTGCTTTACTAGAAATACTACAGTTTGACCACAAAGTGAAATCATTCTGGCATACTTCTTTCTTGCTGTATTTCCATTACTGTTCTACAACAAACCTTGCTGTAGAGATCACTCAAGGTTGTAGCATAAACCAAATAAGGAAAGGAAAGTCACAATTTATGAGAGACTTAGATTATTCCTACCTGTTGCTACAGGAAGAGAAATGAAAAGGTATTTATAGAAAGGAATCTTATTTTAAAGTTTTGCTTTGTATTTAATCAATTAACTTCACACAATGGCCCTCCATAAAAGACCATAGCTCAATGAAAACTGAGTATCTCTTCTGGACCTTTATTAAACCTTCCATAATGAAGGTCATAGTTACTGTATCAGGGACAGTGGGTATGAAAATGGACATATGCCTAGCTGAAAATACCTAAGCCACCCACAGCTAATATAATCACAGAACTGTACAATCTAACACCAAAGGAGACTGAAAACAAATAGACTCTGAATGAAAATTCGCTTAGTGCTGATCTATATATTTACAGGAATGCTGTGCTAATAAATTTGATCAACTTTGTTGCATAATATGCAATGAGATTTTCCCCCTTTCTCTTTGAACCAAATTATCACATGTAAGTATCCTACTTTATGTCATAAAGGCTTGAAAATGAAAACAAATAAATAAAAGAGCCTACCTTAAGATCTGTTGAAATATATGCATCTTTATTGGAGGGAAGCAGAATTCCACTCTCTGATATTGCTTTATGAAAGAGACCCTTAGACAAAGGAGATAAAACCTGCCAAGAAGGGAAGAACAGCAAGTATTTATTCTCCATTAACATCCTTATCCCATAACTTTATGCTTGACTAGACTCCTGGATTCAGTGGGGAATTGCACACTTTTATTTGCTTACAGGGAGGGTCTCCAGATTTAGCACACTGTGCTATTAATCTTACTGTCAAAACAGCACATTAAGCATGAAATGTTGCACTAATGGAGGGTATTTTTTTAAGGCTTTACTTTCTGATTTATCTACTGCATGCTTACATGTGCAAAAACAGAGCAAGATCCTGCAGATATACCAAAGAGTGTGACAGATCCTGGATCTCCTCCAAAGTGTTCAATGTTTTCTTGGACCCACCGAAGAGCTGCTACTTGATCCAAGTAGGCCCAGTTGCCCCGAGCGTGTTCATCCCCAGTGCTGGAAGAAAAGCATTACAAGCCAACTTCTCAGGAAGAGTAATAATACCAAACTAAAGTACAGCTCACCAACTTACATTTTGTGCAAAGTGTCACATTTGGCCAGGAAGATGTGTATAGCCCCTGACCCACAGTCCTTTACAGTCACACCTAAGCCCCTGACTCGCTCCTGCTGTCTTCTTACCCCTACACAAATGGATCCCTGGCCTTGACTTGATACGAGCTCTTGTTTTACACACCAACAGATGAAAGTAAAGGCAAGAACAAATATCGTGTCCGGAACCAAATAAGCCCACCTACGATTTGACAGCAGGTTGCAATCAAATGACAAAGAAAATGGGATTCACAGGCATGTCTTAATGTTCCTAAGTCCTGATGTCAGTGAAGTATGTACATGTGAACCACTGTGTCAGTGGGAAACTGGTACAGAAGTTCAGCTGATTTAGCCAACAAAACTACCCATGCCTTCAACATGACAGGATTATGTAAAAAGTGAAAGAGGTTGTCTTACTTGAAGAATCCAAGGAGTCCAAGTCTGTACTGAATTATCACTACCACAACATTCTCGTAAGCTGACAGTGCAGAACCATCATACCTAGAAGCTCCACCAAATATAAAATTGCCTCCATGGATCCACACCATTACCTTAGGGAAAAAAGGGTGAGACACACTTCTATGCATTGCTTTGCACATTTCATTTGAAGAAGGAAAACAAGATCAGGGAATTAAGAACTCCAAACCACTGAAGCATAATGGCAGCTGAATTTTAAGTTGGTGGACTTTGAGTTTTACATACTGATATTATTTCTGCTAGTGTTACATCACATTTTCAAAAGCAGTTAAGTCTCTTAGGAGCTATCATTAGGTGCACACATGCAATACATTTGCACAATGGGTTTACATACAGGTAGCTTGTCCTTCTTGCTCGAGCCAGCAGGGCTGTACACACTGAGATACAAACAGTCCTCAGATGTTTGGAATGCAATGTGCTTTTCTTTAAAGTTTTTTTCAGCTATTTTCAGCATGGATAGATCTTGAGGACATCTGCACAAAAAGAAGGGAAGCATGAGTATTAGTAACTAAACTGCAATAGCATCAATCTAACAATGACAGAGAAAATTCACTCTCTCTTGCCCCACAGGCTGAATTCCCACAGTGTTTGAACTCTGTGTTACGTAAGTACACTGTTAGAGGTGCAGCCTGTAAAGCACATTTCTACACTTGGACTTGAAATTTCCATTCTGGCAGTGCATTCACTAGCAGTCAACACAAGCTCTTTACCAAAACTCAGCCCTCTGTACCCCAATAAACATGACACTGACCAACACGAGCAGGTGCTATATACAAATGAACTGAAGAGCTCTCACAGTGGTGGGTAAGAAGTTGCATCTCTCAGACCGTTCCAGGGTTCTGGTGGTTCAGGTGGGGAAAACCTCAATGATCCAACAGGGGCTTTTGCAAAAGGAATCCCAAGGAAAGCATTCACAAGTCTGTCCGTCCCCTTCACACTTGTCTGTTTCCCTCTGAGCCGCCCAAGTGCAATAGTCACCTCTGGCTCAGCACCATTCTGGCCTAAGTAACATATAAGGTGAAGAAAAATCAATTAAATTGCATCTTCACAATTATCAGACAATGAAGGTTTTTTAACTGACTGCTTAATTTAGAACATTTCAGCTTATGATTTAAAGCATTTCAGCTTATTCCTTCCCATTTTGTTCCATTTTCATTTCACTTTTGTGCAGTGACAGACACTCCCTGCCAAACCCTCCAGCAGCTGATTCTGCCAGTGACAGCTGCAGCTAGGTAGGACAGAGTGTAGCCAAGAGAATAAAGCTAAATTTCAGAGCAAACAGCAAAGCCATTAACATTTTATAAATTTATCATTCAAGATCTTAAATACATTTTGTTTAGATAATCCAGAAATGTTTTTGCTTTCTACCTTTCAAGCAAGATGGAAAGCTTAATATTAATAAAATCGTTTTTGCTTTCTACCTTTCAAGCAAGACAGAAAGCTTAATATTAATAAAATAATCTCAGAAATTATTTCATCTCACAAACCCAATCATTTTTGCACCATGAAGATACTTTTACAGATTGCTAACCAAAGCATATGAAATTTACTGCCTTTTGAAAAATCACACTGCAACTTGCTAGTGCAGTCACTTCCCCTGGAGCAATAACAACAGATTGTGCATCTCACCTGCTCCACATGTGCTGAATGCTGCACTACAAAACAGTGTGCAAAGCAAACCAATCTGCCCTCGAGGAGACATTTTTCATGCGCAGTTGGACTCTACATGACTTGCTGGTTTTATGCGGAACTGAGGGGGACAAAGGTCCCTGCCCAGGGCACTCAGAGCAGGGATTGAGTGCAGCTAAATTCCCTGTACACCTGCACTGCAGTAAATATGTCCAGAGTGCCAAAAGAAACTCTTGGCACAATGTCCCTAAGTGGTCCTAGATCCTGGCAATGGCCCAACGCAGCCTGGGAACAGCAACCAGAGGACTAATCCTAGTTCATCTGCTGTCAGGGATACAAGCAGAGAAATCAGGGAAGGGCTGAAGAGGTTCCAGAGCTGTCAACACTTAAAATCTTTTAAAAACTCCAAAATTAAATTCTCAAACCAAAAAAACCTGACAGACTGCCCCCTCAAAACAACAAGTAACAAAACAAAAAGCCAAAAACCCACAACCCCCTCCAAACCAAACCAAGCCAAAAAAAAACCCAAACCCAAACCCACAAATAATCCACACAACCCCCCACCCTTAACCCCAAAACACAACCACCCCCTGGCAACCAGGCTAATAGGTTACAAGTAATTAGAAGGTAACAATAAAAAGGAAAAGCCCAACCCAAAGTAGTTAATTCTTGGTTTAACCCCGTTCTGAAGGGATGCATGAAACCAGAGCATGTCATGCTCCACTCAACCGCTCCAGTATAACTCTGCATGTTTTTCAGGTACAGTTCGACTTTTCAAAGCACGGAACAGACGAGGTAAGTAACTGTGATTGGAGCATCC